CTGCCCCATATAATAAGCTCTGTGTCTTCAGGAAGACACTTGCACCAAGAAAGTCCTTTTCCTCTCCAGTAAAATGAAATCAACCATGCCTCCCCACAAGCTCCTGTAAGAGACTCAGAGACAGGACGTCAAGTGCCTGCAGTGGAGAGTTGATATTTACTGGGACAAGTGTGATCATAGCCAAAGAATGTTCCAGGTTCCAACCAAGAAATGCAAGGAAGTCAAACAGCCTTCGGTAGGGGCCACTCCTGCTATGAGCAGTCCCTGTGAGAATCTGGAATATAAAGGACCCATGCTTTCTTTGCCTCACAGTCTGTTGTTGGTTGTTCAATAACACCAGGCTACTATGTCTGTACTAGAAAGACTATGAAAGATCAGTGCAGAGAGCCTTTCCTGCTGATTAGTCCTGAATTAGACCTGATTAGACCTGAATCCCTCCACCATTCAAGTAGGTAAATTGAGGTCCAGAGAAGAGAGCAATTGAGTGGCAGAATTCAGACTGGAATAGCCACATCTGGAGATGCTCTTCAGATCTGCAGGTGATGAAGAAGAAAAATACCCAGGCCACAGGTGAGAGCTTGTTTACAGTTCTCTCCTAGCTCAGGGTCTCACACATGAATATGAATTGAATTAATCCAACCAAATAAGAACAGTTGGGCATGTTTAGTACTGTGGACTTTATGATCAGACTTCCCGAATTTGCATTCAAAAATCCATACTCCCCAGGGTTATTAACAGGTGTCTCAGTTGAGGTTGCTCACCTGTAAAGTGGGGGTAATTTTGGCACTTATCTAAGAATTTTATGAGGTTCAAATGACATAATTCATGTAAAGCATTTATCCACAGTGCCTAGCACCATGGAGCTCATTAATAACTTCTTTGCTTGGTACAATAGCATTCACCTGTAATCCCCGGGACTCCAGAGGCAGAAGGAGGAGGATGGCAAATTCAAGACTAGTATCCGGAACTTAGTGAGGCCCTGTCTCAAAATTATAAAATAAAACTGGGTACAGTGGTGCACACCAGTAATCCCAGCAACTTGGGAGGCTGAGGCAGGAGGATCAGAAGTTCAAAGCCAGCCTCAGTAACTTAGTGAGGCCCTGTCTCAAAATAAAAATAAATAAATAAATAAGAAGGGCTTGGAATGTGGTTCAGTGGTAAAGTTCCCCTGGGTTCAACACCCAGTACCAAAAAAATTTTCAAAGTAATTAATAAATAAAAAATATGAAATAAAAACAAAAAGGACTGTGATATAAATCAGTAGTGCAGCACATCTGGGTTCAAAATAAAAAATAGATAAATAAAATGTTAGTTTTTCTCACTTTTGTTGTTGTTGTTGTTATTATTATTAAGATATTTTCTGGGGTGAGTCAAAAGAAAAGGTAAAGGGAAGGAGAAACTTAAACTGAATGAAATTGAACAGTAGTTAAAAATTTTACATAGTTTCCATTTATGTTCCCCAAAGTATGGAATGCAGCATGTACTTAAATCACAGGATCTCCTAAAGTCTATAAGTTCATTCTCTTATAAAATATCATCCTACCCTTCCAATTACCAGGCAGAATCCCACAGGGGAGGTGGGGTACCTCTAACAGCTCCTGGACAGGACACTGGACACTTGTCAACATAGAAGTTGAGGACAAGGTGGAAGTGCTGGCATGTGGCTCCAACCTAATAGCCTTGTGTTGTTTTCATTTGTTTATCTCTATGGCTGCTCTCTATTTATGGCAAGCAAACCTGCTTGTCTAGTTTGGATACTGATATAATGTTTCCTTCTAAAATCAATTTGTGCAAAGGAAAACTTAAAGGGACTTAAATAATGATATTAAGTAACTAATAGTACAGGAAGAGCATATATTTGGTAAAACTCCTAACAGAGGCCTTCAGTGACCCGCATGAGACAACTGTGATGACCCTCCCAGCTTAGAGAATATGAAGGCCACACCAAGGAGGCAAGTGCCCAGTAAGGACCAAAGCGGCAAGACGCACCTCAGTTGTTTAAATCCAAACCAAATATGGAGCCTGAGTTTTCAAGGCTGGGTAGAAAAGAGATTGCAAATTTTGGCCCAAGGAAGTAAATGTATTAATTTTTTTTTTCCTTCCTAGATCAGGTGTTTCAGGAAAGATTTTGACGCAGAGTAATAGAAAGAGCAAAGCAACGCTGATCTTTCACCAGAGAGCTCCAATACCAAGGAGATAAATGAGTAGACAACACAGCACCAAGAAGACATTATTATTTTGTTCTTACTTGAAGACAATATTGAAAGCAATTTAGTTACTCCACTCCCTTGCCCCTCCCTCCTCCACCCCCACGCCCACTCCACAGGCCCCAGATAGATAGCAGTTGGCTTCCCGACAGAGCAGGTTAGCAGCATGAAGTGAAAATGGTGAGGCGAGGTGAATTTCAGAAAGAAAACGCTTTTCTACAAACACACAGTTGAAGGAGTGGGTTTTATTTCATTTGCTTCCTAGCTGCTAGTGGAGAGGGCTGGAATGAGAGCCTGGGGGTGGACAGTCCTCTGGACTGGAATCAAGGGGAGATTTTGTCTCAGGCATGGAGACGGTCTGGCTGCAGCATCCATTACCTTGGTGACTGTCAAGACAATATGGCAGACTGGTTGGGGCTGTATCACCCTCAGTCCCAGGAGTATCTCTTCATGACATTGCAAGCTTCCTGGAGAAGGAGGAGGAGGAGGGCCTTTCTAGAGAAGAGCACAAGTTATAGGTCCCCACGCCCCATCCTTGAACAGCTAGAAGTCCTCTCCTTTTGAGTCTTCCATACAAGATATGTTATCTGGATTCCAGGAAGCCACAGTTCTAACTAATGCCAGGCTGGCCGTTGTCCAGGCAGAACAAATTTGATCCTATCCTTTGACTGTGGGCATTTGGCTTATCACCATGTCATCTCAACCCTAGTCCAAAGAGATAGCAAAGCTTGCTTGTGAAGCTCTCTTCTGCAAGGGAGACCACTTTCTTGATAATGACAAGTGCTACTATTTTTGCCATTGCTGTCCTTCCCTAGTCTGGGGCTGTGTGTGACCTCCATAGACACCAATCATGAGCCAGCTCCCAGAAGCATGACCAGAGAGAGTCAGGGAGAGGGAGAGGGCCTCCACACAGGGACATCTCATTTTCCTTCCTATGTTGTCATCTTTGGAATCCTACTGAATCCAAGTCACTACTTAATATGGAATACCTGCCACTGAGAAATAATATTTTCCTTGAGCAGATAGATGTGCTTGCTAAGCTGCTGGGAAGAGAAGTATTTCACAGGAAAGAAATCCTACTGTGTTTAAGTATGTGTAAATGCACACCTGTATTAAAAAGTAGAGCCCATCAATGTGCAGGGCATCAAAGTTTACCAGCTCCTTGAAATTCTAAGTGTATTTCTACTCACTGGAATATGATTCTTCTCATTTCTGTTTTATTCTTTCCCTAAGGAGTGCTTTATGCTTCAAGAACAGGGTCATGTTCAAACAGCATGTGGAGAACTCTATAACCCCAGAGTCACCTCTGCTACACACTTCCGCCTTGATGCTCTGCTTCACCTCCTGCCCCAAGGAATGGACTAAGACCTCCAAGACCATGAGCCCCAAGTAATCTTTTCCTCCTTAAAATTATTCTTATCAGACCATTTGGTCACAGCAGCAAAAAAAGCTAACTAAAACACCCGAGGAAGAGAAAGGATCAACAGACCAAGTGAGAGGACAAGGAGAACTTGTGAAGTTTAAATTTCAGGCAGAAATTTACCTTGCAGTATGTGTTATGTATGTACCCCACCATACCACCACCTACCTTCCCACCACCTACCTTCCCACCACCCACCTTCCCACCACCACCCACCTTCCCACCACCACCCACCTTCCCTGTCCTCCCTGTTTCACCATAAGGACCAGCAATTAAATCTTTTCAATAGTTCCCACCCCCACCCCCACCCCCCTGCAAACAAAGGAAAGGCAGCTAGAAGAAAATGGCTCAGAGAGTCTCAACGTGGGGCATATTTAACTAAGATTAAGCCAGAAGGTGATGGCTTCAACACTGAATGGGAAGTAGCTTAGAAGTTTGGTGGGAACATGATGCTACTAGAATGTGTAGAAAATGGAGCCCTGGGAGCTTGACATTTCCCCTGTGGTTATATCTCTTCCCAAAGGAGAAAACCTTCCTGACTGGACCCAGGTGCTACTCAGCACAGGGCCCTGAATGTCCCTAAAAGTTGTCCCATGGGACACACCATTTCCCCCATTCTCAATCAACATTCTTGGAAAAGGATAGTTTTCCCACGGTCATGGTCATGGAAGGGAAGGGAATGAGGATTTATTTCAAATGACCCAATCACCAGTTTTCCAGTAAGAAAATGCCAACTTCAAACACACACACACACACACACACACACACACACACACCAGATCAACTGTGAAGATGCCTTTTGGTAATGGATCTAAAACCTAAGCAGCATCTCCAAAGTATATCCCCAAAGGATGGGAGACAAAAGAAGGAAGAAAATTTAAGTGTTCATGACTATAAACAAAAACTCTTGATGCTTCACTGTCAGTCCTTCAGTGCTTCTGGACGACATCCTGGCATGGATGTCATCTGAACTTCATCCAGAGAGTTAGTTCACCCACCAAAGCACACCCAAAAGAAAATGGCCAGAATGGGAAAGAAATGGGAGATGTTCAGTATAGAGGGCAGATTGAAAGAGGTGGTGGATGGAAGGCCATTGTCTTCCAGTATGGAAGGGCTTTCAGGGGGAGAGGGGACAATTGAATGGCCCCTGATGGACAGAACTTCTTTATAAGTAAAACTTTCACAGCACAGAAGCGACTACTTTGGGAGGCAGTGAGCTCCTGTCCCTGGAGACACACAAACTGAAATTGACCAACTTCCAGAGAAGCAATGAAAAGTGCTACTTCTGCTTTGGGTGGGAGGCTGTATCTGAAGATGCCTGGAATATCCCTTCACAACTCTGAGATCCTCGATGCTCTGACCTTGGGTCCTGACCAACACTCTCTTCCGTGAACCTTCAGAGGGCCCTCGGACCCACTGCCTCGTGCCTTACTGGTGATGATGAGGATCAGGCATGATGCCAAGGTGTCCTGTTTGTACAAACATGAATGGGAATGAATGACCAAATGGTGAGCCACATCCTCTATCAGAAGCATGATTCCAGGGACTCTGGGTCGATGTGTATGGGCAGTTTCTCAAGTTCTTGGTGATGTTCACTATGCAGAACTGTATACCTAAGGAGAAAGGAAAGAAGGCACAAGAGTTTAACAGGCATCCTTCATAGGCACCAAAGAGAGCACCACCTCTGCTCTTGACTTCCTTTCTTTGCATGTTTCTGAGGGTGTGGTGAGATGGGAGTGGGATGGAATAGAACTTCACAGAAGGCCAAAGAACTTGGCTGGATTGCTCATGTTAAAGGTGAGGAAACTGTTCTGGAGGAGTGAGTGGGTAGCAGGCTAGTCGGGGACCCAGATTTCTTTCCTTCCTCCAAAGCCTGGGACTCCTGTGCTATTCACCAGAATGGATTTTTATCGGAATAGGTCAAGCTTCCTCTACCAGCAACAGCTTCATATTCAGCACTGTCAAATACTGAGATGAATAAACCACTCAGGGGCCTGAAATTCAATGTATTTGTTACTTTGATTCTTTTGGGTGTCATTGCAACTATAAATTGATTTTGAAGCAAACAGCAAGTTAACTCTAAGCATTGCAGTGAAATTTACTGCTTAACAAGTGTTTATTCTTTTTCTTCAGTGTCATACAGTTGCACTCAAAATGTTAATTGCCTTTAAATCCATCTCAATGGCAGGAGTGTCTCCTTAACAGTCACCCAGAATCTAGCATCTGACAGTCACTCATATGAAATCTGTGCAGTTTAGTAGCATGATCACCACTCACTTCCCTGAAACCAGCATCAAGCCCAAGCAGTGAGATAAACACCTACTAGATATTCAGCATCATTTGTTGGCAAAACAATGTGGCTTCTCATGCTGTGCCTTGATGCTTTGCTTTGAATTACAATAACTTAGTACTGACTTGTATTGATCGGTTTGTGCTAATCACTCTTTATGGATTTCTTTTTTTAATCTTTACAAAAGCCCCATGAGATAGTATTATTTTCATTTTATAATTGGACAAAATGATGCCTAGTCAGGGTTAGTTAGTGACTTGCCCAAGGTAAGATATGACATCGTATGAAATCAAACCCACTCAATCTGATGCCAACACAGATTTGCTTATCTGGGCCTCGCACAACCATGGACCACATATAAGTCTACATCTAGAACAGAAGTTCTCAACAAGGAGCACCTTGCCTCCAGGACCATATGGAAAGCATTTGTGATTGTCATCAAGGGGTGATGCTACTGGCATCTAATGGGTAGACCAGGAGTGTTACTGAACATTGTACAACACAGCATAGTTTCCCACAACAAAGAAACACTGCTCCAAATGTGGTGAGATCAAGAAGCCCTGATGTAGAATAAGCAGTCCTCTTAGCTGGCTAGAAGCAGATGTTAACTGAGGGACACAGACATAGGGAAGGACAAGAGTTGGTGTCCACTGCAGCTGTTGCCATGGCAGAGGTGGGCTGGGGGATGTGGCGAACAGAACAAAAAGCATCTGCTACTGCTAGTCAGCTAGATGAGTGTTAGGGAAAAGTCAAAACAGGAAAGAAGAAAGGCTCAGATCATGTATCGTTAGCTGGGGTGTTCAGGAAAGGTCCCCATGAGATACACAGACCTCAGTGAAGTTAGCGCTGCTGCTGTTGAGCAGTACATTCTCCGTCTCAAAACCCTCCTCTATTCCGGACACTGTCATTCTGCAAATCCAATGAATTGCTCTGTTGGCTTTTTGTCAAACTCCTCAAATAGGGAATGTTAGAGGGAGACCAGAGCTGGGAGAAGGAAAAGGGCTTGCTCCCCCTGTCATTCCATCTGTGGTGGCTGCTATGAGCATCAGCCCTGCCGCACTTCTTCACCTGCAGTAGGAGAGCCCTCCCAGAGGGGCTGCTGAGTCTTGTGCATGGTCTTTCCATCACTCATGAAACAGACCATGAGATATTTTTCCATTTCATTAGATAACAACTATATGCTTAGTTAACACCTTCTTATATTACAATGTTGTTTTAATAGCTGGTGTGATCAGAACCCTGTTACCTATACTGAGGGAGGGAGCATGTGCATACCTGGAAGAAAGATATTCCAGGTGGGGAACAGTAGTGCAAAGGTCCTGAGTCTAGATCCTGCCTGGCATTTGGAAAAACAGCAGGGGTAGGAGGTAGTGAGGGGAAAGGATCAAGAGGAGCAATGGAAGGTACTCAGAGCCAGGTGGTCAGGTGGGCTCACAGATCCCTGTAAGGCTTTGGCTTTTGTACATGTAAAGCAATTGTTGTCCCCATCCGTGGACTCCTTTCGTAGTCACGTTGTCTTTAGGTTAAGCCAGGCAGGCGAAACGACCAATCTTATAAAGAAAAAACAAGTGGGCTCCAAGCAATTGCGTGAGGATCCTGGGCATCATGGTGAGAGGCAGGGCCCAGCCAGGCCTCAGGTCAGACTCCCACCCTTGGCTTGTCTTGAGCAGCATTGCTTAATGACTTAAATATGGATCTTCAAAAGGGGACTCCAATCCAAAACCCCTGAAAAGTGTGGCTATACTCTGGTATCTGAGTGGGAGTGATATGCCAAAAACAGATGCCTATGCATAAAAAACTTTAATGTTCATAGTAAGAAATCATGAACAGCTCATTATATTCAGGAATTTGGATGCATGCCAGGTACAACTTGTAATAATTACATACATGACTTAATTTATTTCTTTTGCTTTTTGTAACTGTAAGTGGCAGGCACCCTACTAAGATCTATTTTACAGATGAGAAAACTGAGGATCAGAGCAGTTAAGCAGTCACAGTGTGCATGATAATCATACTCTTCATCTCAAAGCATATTCCCCAACTTTGTCCTGTTCTACAGCTAAGAGATCACTTTCCCTGACAGTAAATGACACCATTACTGAATATCTAGCTCAGAGGTAGAGTGATTGCCTAGCATGTGTGAGGCCCTGGATTCCACCCCTAGCACTGCTCATACAAACAGGGTGCCCTGGTTGAGAAGGCAACCCCATAGCTGTGATCATGTATGAAGATGCACTGTCACAGAATGCAGGGAAACTTTACAGCCCTGTATACTCCACAGCAGCCTTCCACACATCTTTCCTGAGTGTCTGCTTCCCATGTGCTAATAAGTCACTTGCCAGGAGGACTAGAAAACAGGGGTAGGACTCCGGTGGACACTCAGTGCAGACTCCTCTATTCAGAGACCAGCTGAGAGGCAGCAGCTCTCTGCAGATGTAGGGGGAGAAGATGGATAGATTTTCTACTCACAACATCTGGGTGGACCTCTTGCCTGATTATGGTGGGTGACATGCACAGAAAGGAGGGACTAGTCTTAGCCTTTTGGCAGAATTCACCACGTCAAGACAGCATCTCAATTGCATCCCATTCTGAGGTACTGTCTAGGTGGGGCATTCCCAAGTCTCCATGTGGTACATATTTTTAATTTTGGTGCTTTTATTTTGATAGTATATAACATGAGCATATTTGGAAATCATCTGGATGGCTGCCCATAAATGCATACTGTCTGAATTCAGGTAGATTGCCCCAATGTTGCAGTAATTTTGGAAAATTTCCTGCAATGTTTTTCTAAGAAGGGGACTGGAATCCCCAGTAGTCTATGGATATGTTCATGGGCATCTACACATCCTGGATGTGGGGAATATCAAGAGAAAAGAAAGCACGTAGCACAGCAGGCAAACGGAACAGTTCAAATCCCAAATCCCTATCTGCTAGTTATGTGACCTAAACATGGAAATTAGTCCCACTCACCTAACACCTAAAATTAACATCTACAAATGCCTTAGCAGAAGAGAACCCACAGTGAGTGGAGGAATCTCCACTGGAAAGACAAACAAGGTTCAGAAAACATGATTTTCTCAGAGTCAAAAAAAGTAGGTAAGGTGAAATGAGCTCCTGAGGAGGAATGCCAAATTCAAATCCTTGCTTGGCCACTTACTAACTCTGGATTATTCTGGTTGATCTGGGCACTGATTCATTGCAAAAATCTATTCCTTAGGAATTGATCAAGTGTGTTTGCTTACTGTTAACTGATCACATAGCTGAAAGAGACTTTTTAGATGTCTTTACAAATAATCATCCCCAAAGAGAAATCATTATCTGTCAGGGTGGCCGAACTCTCACAACTCTGATGAGTGATCTGACTGGGTGTCCGGCAGCTCCCTTGGTGGAAAGCTGCCCCCAGGTGAATCAGTGTACCTGGCGGCTTTGGGTCCTTACGAAGAAGCACTGTGGTTTCCCAAGCAACGGCAGTCCACCAGGCAGTTCCCTTCAAGATGGGTTGCTTTTTCCCTTTACAATAATTTACTCAGATATGACAGGAGCCACATCAGGTTTGGTAATTACCTGAGTCTACCATCCATTCACTGAGCAATTAGCATCGCACTTACAGCAGCCTGGACACAGTAATTAGTAACGTGGTAATAGCTTGCCCAGCCTGGCGTTATCAGGAAATGATTAGACTACATCACACATCGCCACAGCCCTCCCCTGCACCACAGTGCTGGCTCACGCAAGATGTTTTAATTATTAAAATATAAGTTGCCTCAATTTAAAGAGAGTCAATCCTCAGGCAGGTTCAATCCCCAGCTGGGGCTGTAGCTCAGTGGTCAAAAATTTACCTAGCCTGTGTAAGGTCCTGGGTTCCATCCCTAGCATCGCTCCTGGACCATCACCTCTACGCCAACCTCCTCTCCCCCGCAAAAGCTGGAGTCTTAAAGACTTAGATATTAAGATTTTACAGTGGCTATTTTTTCAATGTTCAGGAAGAAATGAGACTTTCAAGTCCTAGGACTTTTTTCATTCAGCCATTTAATTTTAAAATGTATTTTGAACTGGGCATAGTGTCACATGTTTATAAATCTCAGCTACTTGGGAGGCTGAGGCAGGAGGATCATTAGTTTGAGGCCAGTCTGGGCAACTTAGTGAAACTCTGGTTTGAAAATAAAAAAGGGGCTGAATATTTAGCTCGGAGGTACAGTGATTTCCTAGCATGTGTGAAGCCCTGGATTCCATCCCTAGCACTGAAAGAAAAAAAAAAAAGTATTTTGTGTATCCCATTGTGATTCCGACACTACGGTGTCCTCCTGGAGCTCACAGTGTAGA